GTAAGCCTAGCTTCCTTAGGTGTTCTTTGTGTCTGCAATGCTCCGTTAGAAATCCAGTTATTGCTTTGAGACTTCCTTTGCTGAGGTTTGTCAGTGTCTTAGATCTTTCTCGGTTGAAATTTCCAAGGAGATCTTTAGCCTGCCGTAGTCCTGGAAGTCTTCTCCATTGTCTGGCTCTCCAGGCTCCTTCCGCCTTCTCAAGTTCTCCTTGGAAATAGGAATCTCCAAGGCCGCAGAATGGCTCTGGTCCGATCAGTGGCGTTGAAGCCCCTTGTCGTGCCAGAGCGTCTGCTTGTTCATTCCCCTCCACTCCGATATGCCCTGGCACCCAGAGGAGGATAACTTTATTGTTGCCGCCTAGCTCATGCAATCTGCTTAGGCATTCCCATACCATCTTCGAGTTGATGTAGGGAGAGCTCAACGCTTTGATGGTTGCTTGGCTATCGGATAAAATCGCGATGTCCTTCTTCCGGTATTTCCTGTCTAGGTTGAACTGGATGCATCTTTCTATGGCGTGTATTTCCGCTTGAAAAATTCTGGGAAATTCTCCCATGGATCCGAAGTATTTGGTGCGAGGCCCAAAGACTCCTGCTCCAGTTCCCTGGGGTGTTTTAGACCCGTCCGTATATCAAGTAATGGTGTTCCTTCCCAGTGATTCGATGGATTCTGTGCTCCATTCGCGCTTGTTGCTCAGCTTACTCGGAAGTTCTTCTCAAAACTGAACTTCCTAATGATTTGGACAGTTATACAGGTGAAACCAAAAGACCTCTTTCAGTAAGGACGAAACTGACGAAAGACACATCGACAAATCGAAACTAGCTGAACATATCCTTACTGAAGATGGACAACATATGTAGAATGTAAAATTCACTTATTTGCCGACGACACCCTACTGTACTTTAGTAGTGATGATGTGCATGAGTGTGTTGATACTATGAACGCTGGTCTTGAAAGGGTGAATAGATATTGCTGTGCAAATCTGCTGAAGGTGAACGTAAATAAAACAAAATGGATGTTATTAGGAAAACATAAAGATCATAATAATGAAAATCTACTTCTAAGATTGAATGACAGTGATATAGAAAAGGTGAACAAATTCGTGTACTTGGGTGTTACCATTGACAATGAATTGAAATTCAAGGAACATGCTAATCAGGTCATCAAAACAGTAGCTTACAAAGTCAATTATTTAAGAAGATGTTCCCCATATCTAAGCCGGTGGTCTAAACTATTAGTATACAACTCCATAATCCTTCCACATTTAAATTACTGTTCCACCATTCTGTTTTTTCTCAACCAGAATGAAATAAACAGACTACAAAAGATGCAGAATCGTGCTATGCGAATAATCTTACAATGTTCAAGGATAACACCGATAGCAAATATGTTGCAAACCCTACAATGGCTACCAGTGAGAAAACTCTTCGAGTATCAAACACTAATTTTCATTTTTAAAATCAAAATTGCATATTCACCTGTATATCTACAGAATAAATTATCATATGTGGCTGAAATACATGAGTATAATACAAGAAACAGAAACAATATAAAAGTTGAAAAATATAAAAAAAATAGTACACATAATTCCTTATTTTATAAAGGAGTAGATTGTTTTAATGACCTCCCACAAGAAATTAAAGAGAGTGGTTCGATAAATACATTCAAAAGACGATTGAAGGATTATTTAATGAAAAATTAGTATATAATTATTATTTTTTTAGTAGTTTTTATTTACACGTATGTATTTTTTATTCAGACTGATTGTATTTTTTCATGTTAATCTAAGTTTATTTATATGTGAATGTATTTACTTTTGTGAATGAATTAGTTTTTCAACTAAATAAAGAGATATTTATATATAGCAGAGTGGAATAATATTAAAATCATTCCAAAAGATGATATAACAACCAGAAGAGAAAAATCAAGGAATTTGCTTGCATTCTTCTGAGCGGAAAAAATATCATTGCGTCCTGTTCAGTTGATATAGAAAGAACATGGTATTGACTATTCATATCTGAAAATGGAAATGGTAAATTCAAGATGAATTAACGAAATCATCCTGGTAACTCATTTGATTGCCATCAACGTCACCAATTGTCACTAAGAACTGAAAAGTGTCAGGACAAATACGAATTTGCGATACAAAGAATCCATTTTTTATGTTGAAAACGGGAGCAGATTCGTTCCCGAAACGTCGAAAGCTTAGTAAAAATCTTGATATATTTTCTGTATACCTTTATGTCTCTTCTCCGAACTTTTTTCAATACGAATTGTCACTGACAAGCTAGTGAATTTTTTCTTTTAGGCGTTCTGATAGGAAAATTCTTCAAACACAGTGATATTTTGGGGCAAATCATCTGATTTGTCCTTACTACACGTAGGCTCGACACGTAGGTTAGTATATTGAAATTATATTCATTTTTTCATTTGATAGAAAGGAGGAGTGAAAATCCCAAAAAATCTGGAATATTAATATTGAATGTTCCACCTCCTCGATCAACCTATATACAGTCAGTAGTTTAAACAAATTTGGAAAAACCCACATGGGTGACTCCTGACCTTCTGAGAGTAACTTTGAGGGTACAGGTTCCTCTTAAAATAATAATACCTGTTCTTATATTATGATAACATACAATAGGGGGAAATTATATGATGGTGGCGGAGTCCAACGCGTTTGGATTGTTTTTATTTTATCTGGAAATGCACCGTGTAAACAGTTTCCAATATCTCCTGGATGGATTTGTGGATGGATTTGTCCCAGAGATTTAAAATGTTTATTGGGAGAAATAGAAGCGGAATTTTCATTCAACTCCAACTGAAACGACAAATCACTTCCATCAGTTCCTGTTGCTGATGTAGAAGCCACCCTATCATCATCATCATCGTTGAATTTTCTTCTGAAAAATCTAGATAAATCACTTTGTTTCATCATAATCTAATTATACACTAAAGGTAGGTGAACATTGAACACTCAAACAACTGCACCTCTTACTTCTTATCTAACGTATAACTCATTATAGCATTATCTAGAATGAACGAACTGACTGATTAATATATAAAATCCCAGCCAAACAACATTCGACCAACACTGAAAAAACATGCTCGAACTATTCGCAGAAATGTTGACGTTTCTATTACATATTCATAATCGACCAATTTGGCTACACATCAGATCAGTATCTAATTATTTGAATAATGAAACTGAAAGAATTGGAATATATCTGATCATTTATGGCCAAGTGGAATATAATGATTCCACCAGAGTTCACCACATCTTATTCTCACTTTTTAAGTTTAAAACTGATTTTTTTCTATCGGCATATGGGCCATGGGGGGGATATTTCCCCCAAAACCCCCCCCGTAGGTACACCACTGGACTGTACCTAGATAGGTACTTTCCTACCTAATCTCTGAACAACAAATTTGTGAGGCTATGGTTTTGATCTTTTGAAACCTCAGATTTCGAGCAAGTGATCTTGCGTGTGAGTATAGTTATATAGGTACCTAATATTTATTCATGAATTGTTAATTTGGTATGTAGGTATTGTTATATTAATGTCGATATCATCATTTGGTCAAATGTTAATGTAAAATTGTTGAATGTTGCTGCATAAATTATTCACCTTATCTAAAACGCATATCAATCACAAATAAAGTAGGTAGGAATATACAGTGTGTCCCTAGACCAGTGGGACAGTTGAATATCTCCTGAACCAATAGGAATTTTCAAAATATTATAATTCCACATCATATCGCATCATGAGTGCTAACTTCAGGAATGACTGAATTTTATACGAGGGGCGCAAGAAAGGCTCACAAAATCGAACATCATTTTTTTCAAATGCAACACCCCATATATTTCAACATATCTGAATTCTCACCCCTCTAGGCTAATTATCAGTTTTTTATTTTTGAAAATCCGACAAGGCGTTGCCAAGTTATACAAAAGTATTTCATGGAATGCAGACATTTTTTTTATAGACAAACCCATTATTCATACTACTAAGAATTTATGGAATCAGTCAAGACTGTTGGTAGTCGGTGGCATATTCTATCATATGAAATACTCATCTTCTTCGAAAGTTATACAGGGTGGTCAGAAATATTATATGATTTTCACGAAATTCAAACTTTCTTCACATCAATTTTTCAAATAGTGCACCCTACAATATGTATGATTTTATATCCCATTGGTGGTTTGATGGCTTATGGTCAATAGTTGTGAAAGAGAGATGTGAATTTCATCATCAGCAAATGCAAATAAAAAAAATGCAGTAAACTATTTATTCAACTCTGAGAAGATGGTTTGTAGGGACTCTTACGTAGTTAATTACACTAGAATACGTAGTTTGATGATTTTGTTTTGTATTTGCTGATGATGAAATTCACATCTCTCTTTCACAACTATTGTTGTTTGAATTTCGTGAAAATCATATAATATTTCTGACCACCCTGTATAACTTTCGAAGAAGATGAGTATTTCATAAGATAGAATATGCTACCGACTACCAACAGTCTTGAATGGTTCCATAAATTCTTAGTAGTATGAATGATGGGTTTGTCTAAAAAAATGTCTGCATTTCATGAAACACTAGTATAACTTGGCAACGCCTTGTCGGATTTTCAAAAATAAAAAACTGATAATTAGCCTAGAGGGATGAGAATTCAGATATGTTGAAATATATGGGGTGTTCCATTTGAAAAAATTGATGTTCGATTTTGTGAGCCTTTGTTGCGCCCCTCGTATAAATTTTAGTCATTCCTGATGTTAGCACTCATGATGCGATATGATGTGGAATTATAATATTTTGAAAATTCCTATTGGTTCAGGGGATATTCAACTGTCCCACTGGTCTAGGGACACACTGTATATACAAATAATCCGTTTTTCCCGCGTGGGTTCATGTCACACCGAATTCCTTCGTGCAAAATCAACTCCTCCATTCCTTCCCGCCAGATCACGGAAAAATTCCGCATTATCGCTTGCCGGCCGGCAGTACCTAGCTCGGTCGGTACCCTCCTCGCGGTACCCGCCGCGCGGGTACCATCCAGCGGCGAACACGGCGCGCCATTGGTCGCAGTTGCTCGCGCAGGCCACGCCCCGCGACCCGTCACCCGCCGATATGCAAATGATCCCCCCCCACTTTCCCTGGCGGTCCGCAACCCGCCACACAACGACATGAGATGAATCTGTCGGTCTGCGACTCTGCGTGCAGCTTCCGAGACGGTGCAGTGACGACGTAGAATCATTGTATAAAGACTAGACAAGAGTGTGGGATTAATATATATAGCTCACTTTTACCAACGACACCAACACTGAAAAAAATTGTATTAACACGTTGGCTACCATATTATTGAGTCTCATGTGATGCACAATCTCATTTGCTCTACAAACCACCATAAAAAATCGCATACTTCCTCTCTGTACCAAGTGAAGAATCAAACTCAAAACTTAGCCTTTCGCTACAAGATGTCGCTATATTGTATTTAGAAGCAGATGCCTTCATCTCGATAGAGTTTGCTGAAAGATCACCGGTGATTCACATGGTACATAAATGAACCATTTCATCATATGATTGTAGGGAACTCCTTATATTTTGTTGTTTTTTCTTCGATAAGCGCCTTTATTCAAACCTTCATGAGAAAATAATGGACAATTGAGACGAAAAACGTATTTCGAGGAGTACGCAAAAATTCAAAGATGGCAGCAAAACATACAAAATTGGTTACACCTTTTACGCGGAATGCCCCGAGAAACCTTCATACTGTTTGGACTGTTTTCATAAAAAAAACATCAGTATTTCATTTGTACAATGATTATTGATGATTATTTTTTACTTATGAGTGTAACAATTTCAATACAAAATTGACAAGAGAGTGAGCGGTGCGTCTTTTCATCAGAATAATCCAGTCAATTTCTATAGGCATTTTCCAGATCTATGGGTATCACTGGTGATACCCACTTCAACCCGATATTATTTGGTTCATACCTGTACCATACCCACAATCTAATTCCTTCGTTTATACACTAGGCTTCTCTACAAGCATTCAAATAATATGTGTTCATTATCACTGGTGATACATAAAGTACAGAAGTGAACTATGAAAAAGCATCACCGGTGATACATAATATGGTACCCTGGGTCAGAATGTTGAAATCAGGCTTGGTAGTCAACGTGTTAAAGTTCACTTCCAAAATTGCCAGAATATCTTACTGCGTGGAGAGAAATTATTATTTGTCTCAGGAATAGAATCTTATTCATGTTGGATGCCTTGGAGAGGGACGAACAAGTTGAAGCAATTTACACGGACTTCTACAAGGCTACAAGGCATTTGACAGAGATGACCACAAAATGTTGTCAAAGAAACTCCGTTCTTTTGGTTTTGTGGATAATATCGTGAAATGGCTACGTAGTTTCCTCAGTGGCGGCTCTCAAAGAATTAAAATCAATAACTATATATCTTAACGATATTCTGGTCACGTCAGGTGTTCCTCAGGGCTCTCACTGTGGACCCTTAATATTCAATCTTTTTATAAAAGACATTTCCGATGTACCTATTCAAAAGTGCAAGCTTCTTTGTTTTTGCTGATGGCTTGAGAATGTTCCGCATCATTAGAGATGTCATAGACAGTCCAATTCTTCAAAATGATCTTGACAACCTTTACCTGTGGTGCGTCCGTAACAATCTCGACCTGAATACCGATAAATACTTACTTATCTTACAATATCGTTTTCCCTTTCTCATAATGTTGCCCTATATAATTACAATATTGACAATATATTCTTGAAAAAAGTAACCGAGATTAAAGATTTTGGAATCACATCTTTGATGAACGTTCAAGAGCCATATACTGGAAGTATCAGCATCTGCCGATAGAATGGTAGGTTTTCTGCTGTTGGGAAATGGCAGGATATTTTCTATGATTTGATCTAGACATAAAAATGATGAATTTCATTTGATAGTTTGATACAATGGAGTTTTACTACTGCTATGTTTACAAGTCATATTCGCAGCATGCAATGTCTAATTCATATATTTGTGAAAATCCAAATTACTTCATTGCCACCTCATCTCAAATTCTGTCATATTATGAACGCATGAGCATTGCTATTCACTGAAGTGAATGAAATGCTGACGAAATAAATTTGATTTTGAAATAAGCTACCTGATGCTTTTGGATCAAGTAACTTATTCTACCGATCTGACAATCAACATGGATGGAACGAAACAAGAAGCCGTGGAAAAGAGTCGTCATCGAACTATTTCGTCATGCTTAATTTTTTCTTCAACATTCTTTGAACTTCATCATATGAGTACAGTGTGTCCAGTTTTCGATGCTTTTGCCTGATATCTCAGTTATCTTTGGAGATAGAACCTTGCGGTTTTCGCGGTCCTGTGCCACTTTTTTGTGAAACTCAAGATGGCCTAATCAGATTTTGCAAGACTGTTTCCGTTTATAAGATACAGGGCGATTTTGAAAATTTATACTTTTTGGACCCCCTCTATATCCACGAAGTTTCTCAACAAAAATGTCAAATCAAAATCTTATCGCATGGAGAATTTCACGCATAATCCAGTGGCGCACTAAAATTTTTTTTTCGGGGTACGGTTTTGGAGATACGACTCAAACTTATGATTTTTTAAATGAAACACCCTGTATTTCATAAGCTCATTAAATTCCTTATTTTTTTGTCTTCAAAATGATATATAACGAATTAATATAAAATTCTCAAAATTGCTCAAAATCACTAAAATATTGAATTTTGATAGTTGGTTATGGATTTTTCTTATGAAAAACGTTCCAATTGAAGAAATATTTCTTTAAATTTTTCCATGGAAAGGTCAAAACCAATATCAACACTTATTAATTAACAAAACACTAAACTTGGGTACCTGATAGCAACAAATAAATAGTAATATGAAGTTCATAATGTAGAATAGGCATCTGATTAAATATTTACTAAAACAATTGAATTCCGGAATTATTCAGTAACTTATTCATCGACATGTTCAAATTGATATCCTTTTTCTCGAACATACAGTTGACAAACTTTCTCAATACTTCTTAATGCAGTGAGTGGCCCAACATACTTGAAGAACTTTGTGCAACAAAAGAGGCAGTTTTCCAGGAATTACAAAGACATCTTTCAATGATTGATATGTATTGAGAAAGTTTGTGATGAAAAATGGACATCAATTTGAACAATTCAATGAATAAATCTCTGAATAATTTCGAAATTCAATTGTTTTAGTAAATATTCAATCAGGTGCTTATTTTACATTATAAACTTTTCATTACTAGATATTTGTGGATATCAGGTATCTTGAGTCTTGTGTATTGCAAGTTGATTAGTGTTGAAATTGAACAATCAAAGGAAATATTCCTTCAATTGTAAATTTCTTTATATGAAAATCCCTCGAAAAACCCATGGCCCACTATTAAAATTCAATGTTTTAGTGATTTTTTAACATTTTTGAAGATATAATATTCATACATCATATATCATTTCGAAGGGAAAAAAATAAGGAATTTGATGAGCCTATAAAATACAGGGTGTTCAATTTCAAAAATCATAAGTTTGAGTCGTATTTTCAAAACCACACACCGAAAAAAAAATTTTTGTGCGCCACTGAATTCTGCATAAAATTCTCTATGGGTTAAGATTTTAATTTGACATTTTCGCTGATAAACTTCGTAGATATAGAGGGGGTCCAAAAAGTATAAATTTTCAAAATCGCCCTGTATCTCATAAACGGAAACAGTCCTGCAAAATCTGATTGGGCCATCTTGAGTTTCACAAAAAAGTGGCACAGGACCGCAAAAACCGCAAGGTTCTATCTCTAAAGATAACTGAGATATCATGCAAAAGCATCGAAAACTGGACACACTGTACAGATAACTGATTCATTATCGAAATGCAACAACTTGAATACACACTTACTCATTATAATTTACATACCTCAAATGTTTCCAACTTTCAACAAGTGAGACAGCTTGAGACTTGAACTCTAGAAATGTTTCTAGTTGGTGGAACCATCTTTCAAATTGATTATTCGAATACACACAATATAAGAAACAACTCAAAATGATGTGACAGTAGAGATACGGCAAATGGCACTGACACGGACATTTACACTACATAGTATACTGGGGCTCAACTGATGCTTGGTTCGCTAGTATCGGCCGAGTTTTTCATAAGATTCTTGGTTATTCAACCAAGATTAATGATTGTTGTCTCAAGTAGCAATAGCTAAATAATTGTAGGATGAGACAATGTTTCCTGTGGCAAGAAAAAATTATCCCAATTAAAAGAAATTTTATTCAAGAGAAATTTCAGAAAATATCAAGAGCCATGGATATCTCAGAAAAAAGAAATTCTTCACCATGCCAGATATTAACACCTTGTGAAAGAAAATTTGAATCAAGGAGACCCAAGTAGAGCAGTTTTTTCATTGAACCCGTAGGAATATTCACAATAATTGTATAGGGATAATCTGATAAATAGGATCTGTAGGGATGTTGGGACAGATTATTGGATAATCCAGAATTATAGATGACATGAAAGGCGTTTCGACCAATAATGAATAGTTTCGACGCAAAAAATCCTAAAGTTGAAAATTCTCGATTTTGAACACCCTATATCTCTGTCATTATTTTCGCTAGACCCCAAGTGTGATGCATTGATAAAATCAGCTCATGAACGATAATGCGCGGATATGCAATGAAATACAGGGTGTCTCATAAGAAAAAGTATTACTTTGATACGCCATGCATTTATAATAAAGCGAAATTATTTGGAAATGTTCTGCTCATGATCCTAGATCATCTCTGAAATATTTCAAGCAATTGAAAATCATGCAAGCATATAACATTTTCAGAGGTTTTGATAATAACATTCAGATTTCACTATCCAAATATAAAACTTCTGATGTTGATGGTATATATAGGTTGGTGCTCAAATCAGCTGTAGCTGTCCTTATTTGTGAAGGAGTACATCAGCTTCTTTTTCAATCACTCATTTTCATTCATGAATATTTTCAGAATCAGAGTTCTTAAACAGAACAAAAACTGAATGAACTTTATGAATATAAGAAATAAGATGTAACTATTATCAAGGGAACTGTATAAAGTGACTAGGAAGAGATTATTGGACATAGCCCTCATATATATATATATATATATATATAGTTGATTGATGAAGTCTTCAATTATTTTATTACAATTGGCAACTAGATTTTCATCCCTATGGAAATCAT